GAAATGGAAAAACATTCCATGCTCATGGATTGGAAGAACAAACGTTGTGAAGATGTCAATGCTACCTAGAGCAATCTACACATTTAATGCAATCCCTTTCAAAATACCATCAACTTTTTTCAAAGAAATGGAATAAATAATCCTAAAATTTGTATGGAACCAGAAAAGACCCCAAATAGCCATAGGAATGTTGAAAAAGCAAAGCAAAGCTGGTGGCATAATTCTGGACTTCAAGCTCTATTACAAAGCTATAAACATCAAGACAGTATGGTACTGGCACAAAAACAGACACAGATCAACGGAACAGAACAGAGAGCCCAGAAATGGACCCTCAACTCTGTGGTCAACTAATCTTTGACAAAGCAGGAAAGAATGTTCAGTGGAAAAAAGACAGTCTCTTCAACAAATGGTGGTGGGAAAATTGGACAGCCACATTCAGAAGAATGAAACTGGACCATTTCCTTACAGTACACACAAAAATAGACTGCAAATGGATGAAAGACCCAAATGTGAGACAGGAGTCCATCAAAATCCTAGAGTGGAACACAGGCGGCAACCTCTTCGACCTCGGCCGCAGCAACTTCTTCCTAGAAACATCGCCAAAGGCAAGGGAAGCAAGGGCAAAAATGAACTATTGGGACTTCATCAAGATAAAAAGCCTTTGCACAGCAAAGGAAACAGTCAACAAAACCAAAAGACAACTGACAGAATGGGAGAAGATATTTGCAAATGACATATCAGATAAAAGGCTAATATCCACAATCTATAAAGAACTTCTCAAACTCAACACCCAAAGAACAAATAATCCAATCAAGAAATGGGCAGAAGACATGAACAGACATTTTTCCAAAGAAGACATCCAAATGGCCAACAGACACATGAAAAAGTACTCAACATCACTCCGCATCAGGGAAATCCAAATCAAAACCTCAATGAGATACCACCTCACACCAGTCAGAATGACTAAAATTAACAAGTCAGGAAACAACAGATGTTGGGGAGGATGCAGAGAAAGGGGAACCCTCCTATACTGTTGGTGGGAACGCAAGCTGGTGCAGGCACTCTGGAAAACAGTATGGAGGTTCCTCAAAAAGTCGAAAATAGAGCTACCGTACAACCCAGCAATTGCACTACTGGGTATTTACCCCAAAGATACAAATGTAGTGATCTGAAGGGGTACGTGCACCCCAATGTTTATAGCAACAATGTCCACAATAGCTAAAGCCAGGATGTCCAACAACAGATGAATGGATAAAGAAGATGTCATACACACACACACACACACACACACACACACACACACACAAAATGGAATATTATGCAGCCATCAAAAAAAAGAAATCTTGCTATTTGCAACAATGTGGATGGAACTAGAGGGTATTATGCTAAGCGAAATAAGTCAATCAGAGAAAGACATGTATCGTATGATCTCACTGATATTTGGAATTTTTAATCTCAGGAAACAAACTGAGGTTTGCTGGAGTGGTGAGGGGTGGGAGGGATGGGGTGGCTGTGTGATAGACATTGGGGAGGGTATGTGTTATGGTGAGCACTGTGTATTGTATAAGACTGATGAATCACATACCTGTACCTCTGAAACAAATAATACATTATATGTTTAAAAAAAAAAAAGGATGGTAGGAAGGAAAAAATGGAGGGGGAGAAATCAGGGGGGAGACGAACCATGAGAGACTATGGACTCTGAGAAACAAACTGAGGGTTCTAGGGAGGAAGGGGTGGGGGCATGGGTGAGCCTGGTGTTGGGAATTAGGGTGCTTATTGAATGGAGCACTGGGTTTTTATACGCAAACAATGAATCATGGAACACTACATCAAAAACTAATGATGTAATGTATGGTGATTAACATAACATAATAAAATTTTAAAAAATTTAATCAAAAAAGAAGCTTTTAGCATCAGGAAAAAAAAGAAGAAAGAATATAGGAATAGCAGGTGTAAGAAGCTGCCACAATCCCCTTGGGCAGAGATGGTACACTAATGGAAGAGGTTGAGATTTAGACCTTGCTGTAGAGGGCTTGACTGTGGCTTACTGAAGGCAGAAAAGTCATTTGGATGCCATGTTGGCAGAACTTTGCGAGATTTCTGCCCTCTAGGGTGCCAGGAAAGCTGTTCACAGAGAGGTGTGTCACTAGAGGCACTTTGCAACAAAGTATTGAGGGTGGTTCTGGAGATCTGCTTTACCACATAGTGCCTATGCTTAAACAATGAGGTAACTGTGTAGTTAAAAGTTTGTTAGGAGGGTAGATCTCATGTTAAGTGTTCTTACCACACCTACACGAGTACACACAAACTTTTGGAGGTGTTTATTAATCATGGTGATGGTAACACAGGTGTAAACATTATTTACCATCTTTTGTATATCAATTTTACCTCAATAAGGCTAGGAAAAAAATTGGGCATGGGGGATGGTATGCTGGAGAAACCACCTGTGCTGCAGGATTTGGGCGCTCGGGAAGCTCTATGTGTTGTAGGGATTCCCATGCTGCAGGACCTGGGTCCCAGAGGAGGACAGGCTTCAGGAGCTTGTGAAGTGATGCACATGAACCAGGAGGAAAACCTTCTCTTTCTGCAGGGTCTCTCTTGTACCCTCTACTGATGAAGCTTAATTAACATCATGCCAGCTGGAAAGGAAAAAATATTTAAAGGCCTCAGATCCAGTTTTGGAGAACATAAAATGAAGGGTGAATTGGAGCTGAAAGACAATAAGTTAACTTTTAACAAAAGTTAAAAATAAATCAGATAATTAAGACTATCTAGAATGATGAAGATGATTACCAAGAATCAGAAGAGCCAATAATTTAGATTCTTGTGAAATAGCCAAAGCAATAAAACATTTATATGATTTCTGAATTTAGTTACTCTGAAACAGAAATCTCCAAATGGGCATATTTAATGGACAATTAATGGGATTTTCAAGTAGTACTGACAGCACAATTTTTGCCTTGTGTATCAACTTCAGAACCTCAACCCTACATAAAATGCAATTCCACTGAAAGTAGAAGAACCAAGATTTGAGTTCAGGTTGCTCTGATATTCTTTTTGTGTTATGTCTGTGATATGCTATATTGCTTCTCAGGAAATGAACCCAGTATTAATAAGCATAATAGAATCTCCTTATAAAGCCTCTGCCAAAACTGTGGTATATCCATTTACAGGCTAGTTTTATAGATAACATCTGCTACTTCATCTTTATTTTATTTTTCTGGAACTTCAGAACATGTCTCAAGGTACTAATCTTGGTAGTTTGGCTAAACTTAGTAAGAATAAATTTCTCCTGATGGTAAATGATCAAGTGATTGATCATAACCACATTTTACCTTTCCTAAGTTTAGATACATTATGGAATTGGTTTGTTTCAGACCCTGTCCACCTTCATACATGCATGAAGCAGATATCATAGAACCCCTCCAACTCAGTTACTGAGTATTTTTTCTTTTTAAGAGACCTGTATACTTAGATAATCTTCTGTAGCATCCTTTTGCTTTATTATAGCTGTTACTAACCAAAACTTTTAGCTTTAAATTTAACTCCAAAGGAATATTAAACTATTGCTTTTTTCACTTATAAAATTAGACGGGCCCTCCTTACCTCCCATTCAGATTGTCTGCAGGTGCTACAGCTACCCTATTCGCATCTGTAATTGTTTTATGAGATTTTTAAGATTCCTTCTGAAATAATTAGTAGCATTTGTCTTTGCCATTCTGAATACCCTGGAGATCATATTCAAAAGGCTGTGTTCCTATATCCACATCTGCTATATTTGGGTAACACTGTGTGGGTGCTTGATGTATATAATAACACCCAGCAAGACCAAACTGTCTTTTGAAGTTAACTGACTCAGCCACTCTCAAAAGCAGACGGTAGAGCCAGTGGTCTCTAAAAACATACCATACGTACCTATTGCTGTAGTGAAGAGGGCCAGCCTATAGGCAAATCAAACCCAAGTTCCTTTTTCACTTCTCATTTTCAAAACTTTTCAAAATTTTCAAAAATTTTCAAAATGGATCCACTCATAATTCAAGACTTGGACAGAAGCCAATAAAAATTAGCTCTGAACATTCTTGTTTCCCCAATACATTGTATTTAAATTTATGTTCATACTTCAAATAACTTTACATAACAAATATAAGTAATAAGTAACATTTGTATAGCATTTATACTTTTCAAAGTAGTTTTCATTTACTGTTTCAGTTAATCTTCAAGGCAATCTAGAATAGTAAATCATATTCTTTTCTTTTTTTGTAAATCATATTCGTATCTTCATTTTATAGATATTGAACCTGTCTGAGAGATTAAATAACTAATTCAAGTCCACATAATAAAAATTAAACTGGGGCTACAATTCATCTTGTGACTCTAAATTTTACTACGCTATATAATGCTTGATAAAATTGTTTTCCTGTTTTATAGTTGGGGAAACTGAAGCATAGAGTGCTTACATTATTTGTCCAGTTTCAAGCTTAGGTTTAAAATAAAGGTATATGTAATTGTACTAAATGTGTGGAAAAATGAAAGTGTGATGTAAATGAAAATCAAAAAATTTGGGTTCTTGGGGCACCTGGGTAGCTCAGTTGGTTAAGCATCTGACTCTTCATTTTGGCTCAGGTCATGATCTCAGGGTCATGGGATCAAGCTCCCTGTTCGGCTCTGCACTCAGCACAGAGTTGCTTTGAGATTCTCTGCCTCTCCTCCTTCTGCCTCTCTCGTGCTCTCTCTCTCTCAAATAAATAAATAAATCTTAAAAAAAAAAAGAAAATTTGGACTTTTAGTCCCATTTTTCAGAAGAGCTAGATGTGTGGCTACATGTATAGATACTGGGGGGCATATTAAGAGATTTACATAGGTATATTTGCAAGATGGCCCAGTGGACCTTTACAGTCTTAGGACTCGTTACAGACCAAAGGAAAGAGTTAGGAAAGAAAATGATTTTAACACTGTTGTCAGAGAGCATTCTCAGCTTTTTTTCCTTCTCTTTGCAGAGATGTTGGCAATGTGGTTGAAGCCATGTATGGGGACCTCCCTCCTCCAATCATGCTGATTGGACATAGTATGGGTGGTGCTATTGCAGTCCACACAGCATCATCTAACCTGGTGCCAAGTCTCCTGGGTCTCTGTATGATTGATGTTGTAGAAGGTAAGTTTTCTTAGTACTGACCAAATCAGAATCTTTGATTTATGAGAGACATCCATGGTAGATTATTATTATCTTGTTTTAATTTATTGTTGATTTCTACTCATCTTGAACTATGTCCCTCTGACTTGATATCTTTTTTATGTTATTTTGTAGCAAAGGCATTCCCAAGTATTTTGTAAATTGACATGTAACTTTTTATTAGTTTCAGGTATATAACATAATGATTCAATATATGTATATATTGTGAAATGATAACACAGTATGTGTAGATAACATCCATCACCACACATAATTACGAATTTTTTTTCTTGTGGTGGGCACTTTTAAGATCTACTCTCTTAACAGCCTTCAAATATACAATACAGGAGTACCTGGATGGCTCAGTCGATTAAGCAGCCGACTCATGGCTTTGGCTTAGGTCATGATCTGAGGGTCGTGAGATAGAGCCCCGGGTAGGGCTCCATACTCAGCATGGAGTCTGCTTAAGATTCTCTGCCTCTCCCTCTTCTTCTCCCCCTGCTCGCATGTGTGCACGCTCTCTCTCTCAAATAAATAAATAAAATCTTTTAAAAAACCAACAAATATACAATACAGTATTTTTTCCTTTTTCTTTAAATTTTTTATTGTTATGTTAATCACCATACATTACATTATTAGTTTTTGATGTAGTGTTCCATGATTCATTGTTTGTGCATAACACCCAGTGCTCCATGCAGAACATGCCCTCCTTAATACCCATCACCAGGCTAACCCATCCCCCCACCACCCTCCCCTCTAGAACTCTCATTGTTTTTCAGAGTCCATCATCTCTCATGGTTCGTCTCTCCCTCCGATTTACCCCCCTTCATTCTTCCCCTCCAGCTATCTTCTTTTTTTTTTCTTAACATATATTGAATTATTTGTTTCAGAATACAGATCTGTGATTCAGCAGTCTTGCACAATTCGCAGCACTCACCATAGCACATACCCTCCCCAATGTCTATCACCCAGCCACCCCATCCCTCCCACCCCACCCCCACTCCAGCAACCCTCAGTTTGTTTCCTGAGATTAAGAATTCCTCATATCAGTGAGGTCATATGATACATGTCTTTCTCTGATTGACTTATTTCACTCAGCATAACACCCTCCAGTTCCATCCACATCGTTGCAAATGGCAAGATCTCATTCCTTTTGATGGCTGCATAATATTCCATTGTGTACAATACAGTATTTTTAACTGTAGTCACTATGCTGTACATTACATCCTTAAGACTTATTTATTTTATAACTGGAAGTTTGTACCTTTTGACACCTTCCCCCATTTCACCCACACTCCATGTTATATAATCATTTTCCATGTCATCATAAACTCTTTGTAGATATCTTTTGTGGCTGCATAATTTTTCAATTGTATGTATGTCCCATAATTTTATTTAACATTTAAAAGAAGCTGCATGTCTTTTATGACCCAGCCTCAGAAGTCAAACTATTGCTTATACAAGTCAGCCCCTATTCAGTGTGGGAAGACTACATAAGGGAGTGAATACCAAGAGGCAGAAATCACTGGAGGCCATCTTGGAAGCTGCCTATCACATCAGTCTTCTGAATTTTCTTAAGCTGCGTCTTTTTTTCCCAGAGCATCACTGATTTCTGCTATTATTGAGAGCAAATGTACAGTTAACCCAGTAAGGGTAAATGCTTAGAATATGTTAAGTGCTGTAGTTAAAATATTTGTTTAACATCTAGGTACAGCCATGGATGCACTTAATAGCATGCAGAATTTCTTACGTGGTCGTCCTAAAACCTTCAAGTCTCTAGAGAATGCCATTGAATGGAGGTAACTCACAAATCTTTATTGTCTGTATTTTAAGTGTTAGATTGTAGCTGTCCTTTTTCATCACTTCAGGCACCAAGTTCAAAGGAGTAGTTCAGTTTCCAAGCCTTAGCTTTATTATGATATGTGCGGAAACAGTTATGTAAAGAGCAGAATTTTTTTTTTAATATTTTAAATGTTTCATACTTGGCCCAGTTATCTAAAATCCATCCTTTTTCTGATACACTGTAGTACCTCCTAGAATTTTAATAATTATGGATCATCTGTCTAGCTATTTCCATCTCTGAGGTAAGAGTCTGGACTAAATGAGGCTCTAAGGCCTTTTCCACTTCGGATGCTTCATGGTTCTAGATTCACTTTCTGTGTTCCAGAGAAAATGGTGGAGAAACAGAAAGGATCTGCATAGGTTCCTTTCTCAGTTTTTATTTGGGTTTTGGGTAAATAAAATCTCTTTGGGTAATTGGTTTTCATAAAAATCACAGACAGAATTGGCTATGGCTTCCACTTAAGTAAAGGCTGTTTTGTCATTAATTTGTTCATTAATTCAATCAATTATTTGATTAAATATTTATTAAACATTTTGTGCTAAAGGGTGACATTTCAAAAATGAGTAAAACACTGTCTCTCCCACAAGGAAATCAGTCTTAGGATAAATATCCTTAGTATCCTTGTCTTCCTACCTGTTGTTTAAAGTCATCTCTAGGTCCTTTTCCAGAGCCTTTTTCTAACTCCTCCGAACCACTCAGATTACTCATTTGATCAAATTGCTAGAGGCCTCTGTCTATATTATATTGTACTATTTACCTCTTAAGTCTTCTAATGCTCCCCTAAAAGATACGCTTATATTGTCAGTTTTCATGTGTGTCTTAATGCTTCTCCTATATCATAAGGGCAGAAGCTATCCTCTGTTTCTTTTGTACTTTCATATAGCATACAGCATGCCGCTGCCTGCCTTCGCAGGCAGAACATATCTGTTCTATGAATCAGAGACATCAAAAGGAAATGAAGGACCTGGTAAATAGAGCCTAGGTAGTTTTTCTAAGACAGAGGGTCTCATGCCAAATATGGCTTGCCAAAATGATGTTTGTGTTTGGTGAGGTTGCTTCTCTCTCCCCTTGTTCACACTACTGAGATGCAGAATTCGTGTTCTCTCAGAAGCACCAAAGTTCTCTCCCTGTTTGGCAACCACAGCATTTCAGAACGTAGCTGTTGCCAGTTCAGCAAGTACCTCAGGCACCCTACCTTCTTCCCCAGTAACAACCAGTGAGAAGACAATTCCAAATAACTTTTTAAATTTATTCAGTAAACTTTTTTTTTTGTACCTAAGATGTGTCGGTACCTGATTTAAGAACTGGGGATGAATCAGGCTTAGTTCCTATCTGTCAAATAACTGGGAATACAAATAAGTAAATATGTAGGGCGCCTGGGTGGCTCAGTCGTTAAGCGTCTGCCTTTGGCTCAGGTCATGATCTCAGGGTCCTGGGATCGAGTCCCACATCGGGCTCCCTGCTCGGCGGGAAGCCTGCTTCTCCCTCTCCCAATCTCCCTGCTGTGTTCCCTCTCTCGCTGTCTCTCTGTTAAAAAATAAAAAAAATATCTTAAAAACAAAAACAAAAAACAAATAAGTAAATATATAAACACAATGAAGGAGGCACAGGAGTTACAGAAGATAGGTACTTAATCCGGCATGGCAGTTGTGGTGGACCTTCTCCTAAAAGAGATAGAGTCTTGATTCTAGTGGCAGATGTGGGACAGGATGAGGATTCTATTGGTTGTATGTTAAAATGTTTTGGGTTTCTGAGAGCCACTGATTTTTAGAACCTACTTCCTGAGCCTGAGAATCAGAAAGAATCTAATGAAGTATTTCATAATTTTGTTTTGTACTCTGCTGGATATCTGAATAAAGTTCATGACTCATGGCTATTGTGGCTATTCCAGATGAAAAAAAAAAATGTTGACATACAAGGCCAACCTGTTTAATTCAGTAAGGATTTAAAGCAAAGTGAATTCCCACTTCTACTTTCTTGGTCATCCTAATGAGAGGCCATAGGTTATTGTCATTAGAAGCCTAGGCTTTGAAGTTGGACAGATAAGGATTTGCATTTTGGTTTCACCACTCTGGCTGCTCTGAGGAAAACACTAGGGAAAGGAGTAGGGAGTGGGTGTGTTAATGGAAGTGGGAAATTGGTTAAGAGGCAATTGTAGTAGTATGGGAGAATAATGATGGTAAGCATAGACTAGGATGGCAACAGAGGAAGTAATATGTCATATTTGGAATGTATTTTGAGGGTAGAACTGACAGGACTGCCTAATGGATTGGATATCAGCAGAGAAATGGGGGTTGGAGGCAGGAAGAGGCACAGCATTCAAGGATGAGTTCTAGGGTTTTAGCCCAAGCAATTGGGTGAATGGTAGAGACAAAGAGAAGTAGATTTGGGAGCAAGTAAAAGGTCAGGAAATCAGGACTTTTGTTTGGATAAGCTAAAATGCTTATTATGCATCTAAGTGGAAATGTTAAGTAAATACTTGTATATACTTGTTAAAAGAAGTTGAGTTAGAGATAAATTGGAGAATCATTATTGCGTAGATAATATTTAAGAAAAAAGATTCCTTTAAGATAACTTTTTTTTTATGATAGCTTTTTTGAGAAGTTTTGTTGTATAGGAGAGCAGAGAAGTGGGGTAGTATCTAGTAGTGAATGTGGGATTGAGAATGTTTTCAAAGGCTGTTTTATAAGATCCACTAGAGGAAAAAAATGACCCACATGATAACTATAAGAAGCAAGGTCCTCATAAGCAAGAGGGGATAGGAACTGTGCCCAAGTTTGGCCTTGAATAGGAACAGAGGTGTTTCATATATTAAACAGTCATCAAGGCAGGGTATATGATTATAAATACTGGTGTATTTGTAGATTCTGTAGATTCAGTTGGTAGTAGAAAAATGAAATAATCATTCTGATTGTGTCTATTTATCATTAAAATAAGAAACAAGGTCATTATCTAAGGGGGTTGCCCTTTAAAATTTTACACAATTTTTTAAGCTAAAAAGGTTAGGTTTAAAGAAATGTGTTCTAGGGGGCACCTAGGTGGCTCAGTCAGTTAAGCATCTGCCTTCACCTCAGATCTTGATCCTGGAGTCACAGAATCAAGCCCCACATCGGGCTTCCTACTCAGTGGGGTATCTGCTTCTCCCTCTGACTCTCCCCACTCTCGTGCTCTGTCACTTTCTCTCTCTCAAATAAATGGATGCAATCTTAAAAAGAAAGGAGAAGGGAAGGGAAGGAAAGTGTTCTGGTGGCCTGCTTCGGATATTGTTTCCAATTCCCCCTGGGACATGCAGCCATTTTGCTTGGCCCTTAAGCATACATAGGTAGATAACTGAGAGAACTAATCTATTAAAATAGCATCTAAGCTCCTGAATTCTGTATCATGGCATGCAGGGCCCTGTAGGAGCTTGTCTCTGCCTGCCTGTCCCTTTCTCCCACTCACACTCCCCTTTTGCTCTCGCCCACTTCTCCTTGCACTCTGTCCTCTAAAATCCTCATCCAGTTGACTTTTCCACATTACAGTGCCTCTGTTCACAATGTGCACTCTGCTTGCAATGCCCTGACCACCCTCTTTTATCTTCCGCCTAACTTCTTTTCTCCTCGGTTTAGGCGGAACATTTGGGGAGCTTTCTTTAACCTGTTCACTCAGAATGAAGTGATTCCTTTGAACCTTGACTTTATTATATTAAAACTATGTTTGTGTTTCTTTCTCCCTGCTGAATTATCAGGTGCTTCTTGAGCACAGGCCTGGCACATAGTATCCTCCTGGTAAATGTTTGCAGAACTGAAATGGCTTGAATGTCTTTACTTAATTTTTACTACTTGGCTTATAGCCATAATAACCAGGTAGGAAGTAGGAAGTAGTGGTAATCTCCATAGTAAGCTGTATTGGTAAACACAACTTTGTGGAGGTTCCACAGAATCTGCAAAATTATCTATTTGACCCTATGACATGATAAGATGGATGCTAAATAACCTCCTCTCTCCCTTCTCACTTTTTTAGTGTGAAGAGTGGTCAGATTCGAAATTTGGAGTCAGCCCGTGTCTCAATGGTTGGCCAAGTCAAACAGTAGGTCTTATTTTTCCCTGTTGGGCTGGTTAGAGACTGAAACATGGTGAGGGAATTACAGATTGCTTCTTGTTATACACCTGTTCTAGTATCCTGAATGCCTTTATTATTTTAGATAATTTTTACAAATGAGCTCAGTTAGGCTAGCCTCATAGCTTTTCTTTTTTGAAGAACTCCCAAAGCCTGTATAATACAGGATTACCTTTTTAATGCAACTCTGCGTCTTAAAAAGTGAAGAATCCCAGAGAATGGACATTAAAAACTATTTTAAGGGTCCACTCTAGTGCTGGAAGCTATGATTTTATTCTGGTAATGGTCTCCTTCTTAGCCAAACCTGATTGTGAGGAAATCACAGTATAAAAGCTTTAGTGAAAGCCAGATTCTAAGGCTAAGCTAAAGTTATATAGCCCAACTGATCTTCTTGGATAGGGTTACATGAGTCCTGAGTATGGCTTTGTAGTCACAAAATAAACTTTTGATAAATTGAGAAAATGTTGCCCAGTGGAACAGATAGGGAACACAAGAGTTGATAAAAATGATAATGGCATTACTGAATGCCTGCTATTTGCCAGGCACTGTGCCAGGTATTTAATATCCATGTTCTCATTTTAAAAATCCTGTGGAAATTTTAAACCTATAAAAGTAGAATAATACAATGAACCCCAGTATACACATTGCCTGTTTTCAACAGTTACTGACTCATGGCCAGTCTTGTTTCATCTGTGCCTCTTATTTTCCCCTAATTACAGAATATTTTTAAATAAATTCCAAGATTTCAGGATACCCTAAATGGTAAGGACACTTAAAACACAATCACAATACCGTTATCACACCTAAAAAAGTTAATAATTCCTCAGTATCATCAAATGTCCATTCAGTATTCACATTTCTAATCGTCTCACTGATAATTTTTTATAAGTCAAATGAGAATCACAATAAGGTAGATACGTAGCAATTGGAGGATATAACTCTTAAGTATCTTTTAATTTATAGGTTCCACTTGTCTTATTTTTTTTCCTTGCAATTTATTTGTTGAAGAAATCTGGTTGTTTGCCCTGTAGAATTTCCCACAATCTGGATTTTCTGATTGATTCCTGAAGGTGTAATTTAACATGTTCCTCTCTTCACTGTATCATCTGTAAATTGTTAGTTAGATCCTGAGATTTGATCAAGTTCAGGTTTGTTTGTTGTTATTTTGGCTTTTTATTTGTTTATAAGAATAGGTACTGCCATTAGGAAGCATGTAATTTCTGGTTGTCTCTTTTTTTGAGTGTTGGTAGCCATCGATGATCATGACCTAGATTCATTAATTCATTCGCACCATCTCATTTAGTCTTTACAATACCTCTTTAAGATAAGTATTGTTTTATAGGTGAGAAAATGGAAGTTCAGAAAGGTAAGGTAGCTTTCCCAGGATCACACAGCTAGTGAATGAGAGTGCTCAGAATCAGTCTCCTGTGTATTTGACTTCAAGGCCTGTATCATGGTCTTTATGCCTAAACATACAATTTGAGTAGTAATATCTAGTGGACACAATGCAGTCTTTAAGCTGTGAAACTGCCCACTTTTCAATGCCTAAATATTTTGGGATCAGATTTGTTTAAGCAGTGGTAAAGCATTTTGTGAGGAAGTTATATGGCTTGTATTCAGGTAGTTCAGCAATTTTTAAATTTTACCTAGTAGGTAAATTTAAGTGGTGTCTTCTCTTAATATGTAAACTTGTGTATATAGTGTGTGTTTTAATTGTCACATAGATACTAGATAGAACCTTCCTGCCCTTCTTGATGTAGGTGAAATTCTCTTGAACCTCCTAATCCATAGCTGTGGAAATCCAAAGCACATGTTGTTTTTTTGTTATACTACCTTGACCCTAGATGTGAAACTTGATACCTCAAGTCCCATAGAACACCCCCACTTGACAAAACAGTTTGTGAACATATACTTTACTGAGATTGGTAGAGGAGAAAAGGAAGACAAGTTATCACTGTTAAAAATCCACCATTGAAGTTTCACTGACCGTTCAGTTTATCTTAACTTGTTCTCTCTCCTCTTCTCCCTTCTCTCTCCCTTTCAAGAGCAAAATAACAAATACTTCTTTATCATGCAGAACAGACCTTAGTACTAGCTGATGCCTAGGCCCTTGGGAATTTTACCTTTAATATTGTCAGTGTATTTTTTCAACAAGTTCTTTCTAAGAGGAATTATGTTATCAGCGGTTCATATAATAATAATTTTTCTACCTAATTATGTAATATTGTTTTTTAGAGGAAAAACAACAACAGTAGTTGGTTAGATCAGATGTTCTAATCCCCAAGGTTCAGCTGGCTATGGTTATTGTAATTGTCAGTTTCCATCAGCTAATTGAAAGTGGGGGCCTTTTACCGTGCTGTTTAAGCCTTGTTCTATTGTAAGCAGGGTACAGTAGAAAAGTTCCATGCTTTCAGGTAAATTGGGCCTGGATTTGCCTTCCAGCCTCAACTAGTTATGAGCCAGGTGATTTTGGACAACTTTTTTATTTTTCAGGGCTACTTCATAGGATTGTTATGAGGATTATACAAGATAATGTCAATAAAACTCTTGTCACCATGCCACAGGAAATGATTACTCTCTTCTGTGGGTCAGTACTGGTGCAAGAACTGGAAACCAGCCCTTGGAATATAGTCATACCTTCCATGGCCATGACCTTCCACAGCCCTGGTCTATTTCTGCACATTTTAAAGTGCACATTGTTTACATCCTCCTTCTCCCAGAAGCATTAAGTTTTAACTGACATTTGATTGTAAAAGACTATGAGTTTCAGTATCTCTGAGATAATTTGTGTATAAAAGAAAGATGTATGATAGCACTTAAAAAAAACAACAAACCACCTAGGTGTGAAGGAATTACAAGTCCAGAAGGCTCAAAATCTATAGTGGAAGGAATCATAGAGGAAGAAGAAGAAGACGAAGAAGGAAGTGAATCCGTAAACAAGAGGAAAAAGGAAGATGACATGGAGGTGAGTGAAAGCTGGCATTCTTGGAAGGATGGGGCAGTGAGTGGTTCAGAGTGTGTGGGGGTGGTGAGGGGGGTGGTAAGGGGGAGGTGACATGTTCTTTTTGTTCACCATTAGATATTTTAGGGGGTGAAGATGTTATCGTAATAGATATTTAGGTTAACTATAAGATACAAGGCACTTGTTGATAGCTTTGACAAATTGGAACATAAAACTTACAGTATATACCCTACCCTCAAACAGACTGCTCTCTCATCAGATTCTTTCTCACCTCAGTACTTCTGTTCCTATGGTTTATCTCATGAGAAAGTCTGATTTCCTACGCTAAGCCCATCAGATCTTACTCATCTTTCAAGGTGTATCTCCGGGGAAGTTTTCCAACCTCATTTTATATCAGTCCCTCTCCAGTATAGCACTGAGAGTCTAAATGACATAACTTAGCACTTTCTTTTTTGAAGTTGTGGCTAAGTCATAGAATTGATTTTCATAAACCACATTCAAAGATACGATGGTCTCCTGTAGTCATCCCTAGAATGCAGATTCAGCATTCTCTAATTGCACAAGAATTGTCTCCCAACAAAAATAGCCTGTGTATTTTGAGCACAGGAACTAATGTTCTATATGAATTTCCCTCAGCATTTAGCTTGGGGGTGTGTGTGTGTAGCAAGTGTTCTGTGAGTACTTGTTGAACACTTGATTTGAGGATAGTAATGGGAAAGGGTGTGTTTTTTCTTGGAAATGGTTAGTGAGCATGAGCAGCAGACTTTCTGGGATGGATTATAAACATCTTACTAATGGCAAGTAATGGACTTGGTATATACCACATATTCCCTTATGTTTGGAGATGTTACTATTAGCAAGGAGGAGAGGACAATTGATCCTTGAACAATGTGGGGGTTAGGGACACTGACTTCCAACACTGGCAAAAATCCAACTATAACTTTTGGGGTGCCTGGGTAACTCAGTTGGTTAAGTGTCTGACTCTGTTTCAGCTCAGGTCACGATCTTAGGGTCATGAAATTGAACCCTGTGTGGGGCCCCGCGCTGGGCATGGAGACTGCTTAAAATTGTCTTTCTCCCTCTCCTTCTGCCCCGCTGCACACACCCCCACCCCGCACATTTGCACTCTCAAGAAAAAAAAACAACAACTATAACTTTTGGCTCCCTAAAAACTTAATCACTTATAATCTACTATTGACCAGAAGCCTTACCAATAAAATAAGTAGTTGATTAATACATAATTTGTATATTTATATGCATTAAATACTATATTCTTATAATAAAGTAGCTAGACAAAAGGAAATGTTCTTAAGAAAATTACAAGGAAGAGGGGCCCCTGGGTGGCTCAGTCGTTAAGCATCTGCCTTTGGCTCAGGTCATGATCCCAGCGTCCCGGGATTGAGCCCCGCATCGGGCTCCCTGCTCAGCAGGAAGCCTGCTTCTCCCTCTCATGTTCCCTCTCTCGCTGCGTCTCTCTCTGTTAAATAAATAAATAAAATCTTAAAAAAAAAAAAAAAGAAAATCATGAGGATGAGAAAATACATTGTAGTACTGTACTGTTTCCAAATCCAGGTATAAGTGGACCTTGCACAGTCCAAACCTATATTGTTTAAACATCAACTGTATCTTTTTTTAAACAGAATTTTTAATTTAATGAGGATCTTTTGTCATCCTTAAGATAAATAAATAATTCTTTGTACCTCTTTGGAATTTACAAAAATATAAACAGTGCATGATTAATTTGCCTTCCCTAACTCTGTGGGGTGAAAAGAGATCTTTTCTCCCATGTTAACAGTGTAGAAACTTGAGACTCAGAGATGAAGGACTTTCCCAAAGTAATCAAGTAATATTTAGTAGATCTGAGACTCTGATACAAACTGTCAATGACTTTTTGCCTTTTATGTGCTGGGAGCTATACTAAGTACATCACATTTATCATCCCTAGTTCTCATTTTAGCTCTGCATTGTAGATATTATCACTGTTTTACAATTCAGGCGCAGATTCTTGCCTACAGACTCCTATAAATGTTGGTGCTAAAACATACCCAGGTCTTCTGGTTTTTAATTCCAGCTCATTTTTCCTTTGTAATTTTTTTATAAGCCCAGTTACATGGAGTTTAGTATACTCCAGCAGTTTTGTTAGGAGGGCAGACTGAAACACATCAGACAATAAGGAGTACAGCTAAAACAGTCAACCCTTGAGGAAGGACATAAACCCCAAACAACACAACTAATGTTCTTGCAACTAGTAGATAAACAGATCCTGGACATTGAATGCACAGCATAATAATTATAGGCAATGATACTATGTTATAAACTTCAAAGTTGCTAAGAGACTAGGTCTTAATTGTTCCTAGTACAAAATAAAAAATGATAATTATGTGACATGATAGAGGTGTTAGCTATCCTATGGTGTTGCATATTGCGGCGTATAAATGTATCAAGTCAACACATTGTACACCTTAAACCAACACAATGTTATATGTTCTTTATCTCAATAAAGAAAAATAAAAAAATAAAATGATGGAGAAAATATTGATAATGTAAATTAAACTTAACTACAACAAGAAAAACAGTCACAACTTCTAAAGCATGGTAGCCAGGGGCCATTTAGAGCCTATTAGCCCTTAGGGGGATATCTCTGTTATAACTAATATAAAACATGGTGTTTGAAGTGATCCTGAGACATAACATAAGAGTTCTTACATCCATTTTGCTGTGTAAAAGAAGACAAGATATACGTTGGCAGTGGGGGGTGATGTCTAATACAATATGGTTAAAATACAGAAAAGAAAAGGGAAGCTTTAACCTTTGGTCCTTAAAGTAATAAACTTCAGTTGTCCAGGAGGTATTCCTTTATGCATAAATCTCTTTTTTTAAAACTGCTTTATTGAAAGGTAACTCATCCAAAGTATACAATTCAGTGGTTGTTAGTAGATTCACAGGGTTGTGCAACCATTGCAGCAATCTAATTCTAGAACATTTTCATCACTTTTTAAAAAAATGTCATACCTGTTTGCATTCTCTTCCCATGTCTCCCCAATATCAGCCCTAGGCATCCACTAATCTACTTTCTGTCTCTGTAGATCTGCCTAATCTGGACATTAAATATAAATGAATATACATAGTCAGTCTTGTGACTGGCTTCTTTTACCTTAGCGTAATGTTTTCAAGGTTCATCTGTATTGTAGCATGTATCAGTACTTCATTCCTGTTTATGGCTGAATAATATTCCTTTGTATGGTTAGACCACATTTTTTTTTATCCATTCATCAGTGGTCATTTGGATTTGTTTCACTTTTTGTCTGTTATGAACAATGCTGGTATGAACATTTGTGTACACGTTTTTGTGTGGACATAGGTTTTTATTTTTCTTGGGTATACACCTACCAGTGGAATTGCTGGATGCTAATTCTGTGTTTAATCATTTGAAAAATAGCCAGACTATTTTATATTCCTACCACCAGTGTCTGAGTGTTCCAGTTTTTCTACATCCTTGTCAGTACTTGTAACATTGTCCCTCTTTTTGATTATAGACATCCTAATGGGTATGAAGTGGTATCTCATTGTGGTTTTGATTTACATTTTCCTGATGACTATTGCTAGATACAAGTCCCTGATTTGCAAATGTTTTCTCCTGTTATACGGGTTGTCATTTCATGTTCTTGATGGTGTTCTTCAATGATGAAATTCATTTTATCTAGTTGCTGTTTTGTTATGTCACATCTAAGAAGGTTTTGCCTAGTCCAAGGTCACAAAGACTTATACATACGTTTTCTTCTGAGTTTTCTAGTTTTAGCTCTTATATTTAGGTCTATGATCCATTTTGAGTTAATTTTTGTGTATAGTATGAGGGTAGGAGGTGTAACTTCATTCTTTTGCACGTGGATGTCCAGCTGTCCCAGGACCATTTTTTGGTAAGACCCCACTTTCCCATGTAATTGTCTTGCATTCCTTTTTGGAAATCAAATGGCCATAAATGCCAGTTTATCTCTGGACTCTCAATTCTGTTCCATTGATATATATGTCTACCCTCTTATGCAAGTGCCACTGTCTTCATTATTGTAGCTTCATAGCAAGTTTTGAAATCAGGAAGTGTAAGTCTTCCAGCTTTGCTCTTCTTTTTCAAGGTAATTGAAATCCCATATTTTTTTTTAAGATTTTATTTATTTAAGGGGAGTAAGTCTGAGGGGGAGACGAACCATTAGAGACGATGGACTCTGAAAAACAAACTGAGGGTTCTAGAGGGGAGGGGGGTAGGGGGATGGGTTAGCCTGGTGATGGGTATTAAAGAGGGCACATTCTGCGTGGAGCACTGGGTGTTATGCACAAACAATGAATCATGGAACACTACATCAAAAACTAATGATGTAATGTATGGAGATTAACATAACAATAAAAATTATTTAAAAAAAGATTTTATTTATTTATTTGACAGAGAGAGACACAGCAAGAGAAGGAACACAAGCAGGGGGAGTGGGAGAGGGAAAAGCAAGCTTCCCGAGGAGCAGGGAGCCCGATGTGGGACTTGATCCCAGGACCCGGGGATCATGACCTGAGCCTTAGGCAGACGCTTAAGGACTGAGCCACCCAGGTGCCCCGAAATCCCATATTCTTAAGATTTTGTTTTTTTAGGGGCACCTGGGTGGCTCAGATGGTTAAGCGTCTGCCTTCGGCTCAGGTCATGGTCCCAGGGTCCTGGGATCGAGCCCCGCATCAGGCTCCCTGCTCAGCAGGAAGCCTGCTTCTCCCATTCCCCCTGCTTGTGTTCCTTCTCTCGCTTTGTCTCTCTGTGTCAAATAAATAAATAAAATCTTTAAAAAAAAAAGATTTTGTTTTTTTAATTACTTGTTATGTGCCAGACCATGTTCCTATTGTTTTACATACATGAGTATCTTTAGTTTATCCTTACAATAATCTTTTGAGATTTTGTGTTGCCCACTTTATAGCTAAGAAAACAGGCCTGAAGAAGTTAGGTTAACTTTCCCAAGGGACCCACAGTTTATTAGCTGATGATGGAGGTGGGATTTGCATTAAATCCAAGTCTGACTGACACAAAACCTATCTTTCTAAATGCTTTTCAAGTGACGTGTTGGGAAATAATGCAAAGCCTCTGGTTGATGCCCTTGTGTGGAGAACCACATCCTGCCCACGTGAACATCCCAGGATGATTGGTAGCCAGCTTTCTGCCTCTCCTATCCAGCAGTTAGATCTCATTACATCGATCTATTTTTTTTTCTTTTCTTTCTTTAGTTGTCTTTTTTCAAGTTTTTATTTAAATTCCAGTTAGTTAACATACAGTGTAATATTAGTTTCAGGGGTAGAATTTGGTGACTCATCGCTTATATACAATACCCCATGCTCATCACAAGTGCCCTCCTTAATATCTATCACCCATTTAACCCATCCCTCCACCTACCTGCCCTCCAGCAACCCTCAGTTTGTTCTCTATAGTTTAAAGAGTCTGTTTTCTGGTTTGCCTCTCTTTTTTCCCCCCATGTTCATCTGTTTTGTTTCTTACATTGATCTGATTTATTACCATTTGTCAGAGGAAGGAATCTCAACTAAATTAACTTTATGATCCAGCTCTCCAGAGAGAGGATATATTATTATAACCCTAAATACAGGAGCAACTCTAATTATATCCAGATTTTTTCTTTGTTTTTATATTTTTAGTACTTGAACTCCTTTTTTAAAATTTCTTCTTTTTTTTTTAAAGATTTTATTTATTTATTAGAGAGAGACAGAGCACAACCAGAGGGAGAGGCAGAGGGAGAGGGAGCAGACTCCCCGCTGAGCAGGGAGCCCGACATGGGGCTCGATCCCAGGATCCTAGGATCATGACCTGAGCTGAAGGCAGATGCTTAACCATCTGAGCCACCCAGGCACCCCTTAAAATTTCTTTTTATAATATTACTATCCTTGGAAGTTCCCTTACTTTAAATTTGTCATTTGCGTATGAAGCACAATGTATATTTAGGAAGGTCTTACTGTCTCCGACTGTGGAATCTATTAGAAGTGGCTCATAAGTGTTGTACATGCATTGTTTAGTGAGAACTAGAAGACCCAAATTTCCTGACTACCCATCCAGTGATCTTTTTTACACCTCATAGAAGTAGAATCAGTGTTTGTCTTTTTGTGACTGGCTTATTTTAGTTAACACAATGTCTTCAAGTTTCCTCTATGTTGTAGCGTGTGTCAAGATTTCCTTCTTTAAGGCTAAATAATATGTATATAACACATTTTGTTTATCCATTCATATCGATAGATATTTGGATTGTTTACACCTCTTGACTGTTGTCAGTATGCTGCTATGCACATGGGTCTGCAAATATCTCTTCAGACCCTGCTCTCACTTCTTCTGGCTGTATACCCAGAAGTAAGATTGCTGGATCTTATGGTAGTTCTACTTTTAATTTTTGAGTAACTACCATGCTGTCTTCATAGTGATTGTACAATTGTATAATCCCACCAACAGTGCCCCAAGTGTTCCAGTTTCTCCACATCTTTGCCAATGCTTATTTTGTCTTTTTCGAGAATAGCCATCCTAATGGGTACAAAGTGATATCTCATTGTGGTTTTGATTTGCATTTCCCTAATGGTTAGTGAAGTTGAGTATCTTTTTGTGTACTTATTGGCCATTCTTTTCTTTGGAGAAATGTCTGTTCATGTCCTTTGCCCATTTTTTAATCAGGTTATTTGATTTTTTGTTATTGAATTGTAGGAATCCTTTATATATTCTGAATATTGACCCCTTATCATATATATGATTTGCAAATATTTTCTCCCATTCCATACAATGCCTTTTCACTTTGTTGATTGTGTTCTTTGATGCACAGAAGTTTTTAAGTTTGATGTAGTCCATTTGTCTATTTTTGCTTTTGTTGCCTTTGCTTTTGGTGTCATAACCGAGAAATCATTGTCAAATTCAATGTCATGAAAAGCTATATGAAGCGTTCCTCTATGTTTTCTTCTAGAAGTTTTATAGTTTTAGGTCTTATATTTAGGTGTTTAATCTGTTTGAGTTAAACTTGTGTATTGTCCCAACTTTTTTGCATGTGGATATCCAATTTTCCCAATACCATTTGTTAAAAAGACTGTTTTTTCTCCATTGAGTCAACTTGGACCCTTGTTGAAGATCATTTGGCCATATATGTGAGAGTTTATTTCTGGGTTCTCTAGTGTATATACCAGTACCATACTGTTTTGATTACTGTAGCTTTGTAATATATTTTGAAATTAGAGAGCATGCATCTTCCAATTTTATTCTTTTAAAAAATTGTTTTGGCTGTTTGAGGTCCCTTGAGATTCCGAATGAACTTTTGATGAGTTTTTCTATTTTTGCAAGAATGTCATTTGGATTTTGATAGGGATTGTTTTGAATCTGCAGATCACTTTGGGTAGTATGGACATCTTAACCATCCAGTGATCTCTAACACAATATGTTGGTGTCTCATGTTCACTTCTAGATTTTCATATTGTAGTAACCACAATATGAAGTATCCCAATTATTTATTTCAGTTATAATATTTCAAATTTTCAGTGATGAAGAAAAGTATAGAAAATCATTTATTTGTTCATCTTGTATTTGATGAGTACATACTCTGTGCCTGTCTAGTATGTATCAGGATTTAACATACATTTTGTACTATTTGTGTCAGATTTCCTTTTTCAGATTACTATTGCATGAACATGATACCATTATCATAAATCAAAATATAAGAAAAAATGCTCTGCCAACAAATCAACATATTTTCACTTTTCCCTTCCAGTTCTTTCCCTGTGTGTACCACATTTTTCCAGTAGTAATCCTCACTTAGATGACATGTTACACTCTGTTTCTTTCTCTTAATATTATATCATAAGTATTTTTTTATACTGTACTGTGCTTTTTGTAATTATCCTTTTGATGGATATGTTCTTTTTGTCAAATGGATATAAGAGAAGCTCAGTCTTGGCTACCATTTACTAGCTTTGTGATCTTAAGAAAGTCTTCTAAGTTCACTGAAATTAATAGAAGTAAAAAGTAAACTTCTGGTTATCTAAACATGGAAATTACAACAATAACCTATATCACAAAGCTGTTTTAGTAATTAAGTGTATATGAAAATGTCTGGGACCTAGTAGCCCCTTAATAAGTGCTAGTTTCCTTCCCTTTCCTTTTCCCAGGGACCTAGTTTTTGTCCTCTTCCTCCGGGGGTTGCCCTCAGAGACTCAGAACTTGCTCTTTTTCCTCCAGACCAAGAAAGACCATCCGTACACTTGGAGAATCGAACTGGCAAAAACAGAAAAATACTGGGATGGCTGGTTCCGAGGCTTATCCAATCTCTTTCTTAGTTGTCCTATTCCTAAATTGCTGCTCTTGGCTGGTAAGTGTGTATGTGTGTGTATTAGCTCAGGCTGCCATAACAAAATACTGTAGATTGGGTGCTTAAACAACAAATTCATTTTCTCACAGTACTGGAGGCCGGAAGTCTGAGATCAGGGTATTAGCACAGTGAAATTCTGGTGGGAGCTTTCTTACTGGCTTGCAGACACTGGTATCCTTCCATGGCAGAAGAGAGAGCAAAAGCAAACTCTTTGGTGTTTATTCTTAAAAGGACACTAATCCTGTCATATGAGGGCCCTACCCATATGACCCCATTTAATCTTTTTTTTCATGTTTTATGTCTTATATAACTTCTTGTAAATTATATATTTTTTAATTTTTTAATTTTTATTTTGTTATGTTAATCACCATACATTACATCATTAATTTTTGATGTAGTGTTCCATGATTCATTGTTTGTGCATAACACCCAGTGCTCCATGCAGTACGTGCCCTCTTTAATACCCATCACCAGGCTAACCCATCCCCCCACCCCCCTCCCCTCTAGAACCCTCAGTTTGTTTTTCAGAGTCCATAGTCTCTCATGGTTCGTCTCCCCCTCCAACTCCCCCCTCTTCATTTTTTCCTTACTACTATCTTCTTTTATTTAACTTAATTATCTCCATGTCTCCAAATGTGGTCACACTGTGGATTAGCCTTCAACATATGAATTGGGTGGGGGGGATACAATTCAGTCCATAGCAGTGTAGGTATATCATCATCTGAGTATCCTTGTTAAAACTACTCACCACATGGGGGCACCTGGGTGGCTCATTCGGTTAAGCGTCTGCTTCGGCTCAGGTCGTGATCCCAGAGTCCTGGGATTAAGCCCCATAGGGAGTCTCCTTCTCCCTCTCCCTCTGCCCTTCCCCCTCCGCCCTGGTCACTCACTCTCTCTCTCTCAAATAAATAAATAAAATCTTTAAAACAAACAAAAACTACTCACCACATGGGTAGTAACTTCCAAAATAAAGTACCATCCTCACTCATTTGTGCTCTTCTCCTCTCACCAAATCCCTGATCCTAACTAAGCACAAGCATCTATCTGAGATAAACCTAATTCTGGCCTGCCTTCAATCCCTGGTTAAGCACAAGTTCTCCTAGAGTGGTGTAAAGATATTCTGAGTATAATGGAAATTTCAGAAATCAGTTTAAATAATCCAAAAGATTGTAGGGGCCCCTCATTCTGGAAAGCTTCATGTGGTGAGTATATACCCTCAAGGAGTTAGGATTGGCATTAACGTGAATTGAAAATGTCATCATGTTTACAAATTTGTAACGATTTTTACTTCATACTTGAACAGCAAAACCTGTTTCACACAACCTTTTCTAGTAAGCTACTTCTGGATTCTCCTGTTTTGTTCTAGGTGTTGATAGATTGGATAAGGATCTGACTATTGGCCAAATGCAAGGTAAGTAATCAAGAAATTATGTCCAGGGATGTCTGGGTGGCTCAGTCACTTAAGCATCCCACTTGTGATTTTGGTTCAGTCCCTGATCTCGGGGTTGTGAGTTTGATCCCCATGTCGGGCTCCACACTCAGTGGGGAATCAGCCTGGGCTTCTCTCTTTCTCCCTCTGCCCTTCTACCCATTCATGCTCACGTATGCACTCTCCCTCTCTCTCTCTCTTTCTCTCTCAAATAAGTAAATAAATCTTTAAAAAAAAAAAAAAGAAATTATGTCCCTAGGTCCTTCTCTGAGGGCAGAGTCATGTGGAATTAATGTTCTGAGATGGTGAAGTGCAATGGAAAGAGCATGAGCTTTAGAGTTAAGCCCAAACTTGACATCAACATCCACTCCTGACCCAAATATTTCCCTTTTCTGAGCTTCAGTTTTTTTTCCTACATCTAAAAATGAGACTTAACTCCCATCTACATCTCAGGGTTGTAAGCATTAAAATGAGGCAATGTCTTTGCAGAGTATATTATAAACCATAAAGTACCCTATAAATATATAATATTGTGAAGGAGATATTCTGAATACTGATCAATATTTTCATCATTGTTGGAATTCTTAGGAAAGGGAAAGGTCCATGATAATTGGGATGCAAAAAGATGTAAACTATGTTTAGAAGACAGCATGGTGAGGTGGCAAAAGTAAAGACTCTGAGGTTGGGAGTACTACTACTTTCCTTCTCATTTGATGACCCCAGGCAAGTTACTTGACCTGCCTTAGCTTTAGTTTTCTCAGTCTATAAAATGAAAAAGTTGATGGCAGCTTCACAGGGATCATGAGGTATAATGAGTAGAAAAGTAACATATTGTGCTCAGGTCCAGGTATGTTGGCCAGATGGAAGTGGAGGCTCTTGGTTTAGTATGGATGAAAGGCTTGGTAAAGGCGAAGTCAATAGGCACTGGTATCTTTTAGGTTATGGGAAGAAGAGGTGCTAACTCCAAGGCCAAGGTTTCAGGCTTAAGCAGATTCTGTTCTTGACCTCCCTTTTTGTCTACTTATTCTCTCTGGGCAATCTCATGGCTTTTATTTAGGCCCTGATAACTCCCAAAGCTAAATGTCCAACTCATACCTCTCTCCTGAGCTCCATACCTGGCCGACGTGTAAAACCTACTGGACATCTCTACTTGGATGTTTATGGTCTCAAACTGTTCTTTTAGCTGTCCTCAGTCTCTCCACAGAAAAGGGGGCTTATATTTCTTCACAATAGTTGTTCAAAGGCTCCTGAATGATTTATTACATTCTGGACTCAGGCACTCCTACCCTCCTCCTCTTCCAACACATAGTATCCTGAAGCCTGGAGGAAGATCATGGCCTCGGATGGTGTTTTATGGCACTGATGTTGGTAATTCTGAGTTTAGACATCTTTCCTTAAATTCAATTCAAGCAAACCTTTCCTAAGCAGTCTTTCTGTGTAAGACCTATGCTTAATGCTGGACAGACAAAAGAATCAGATATGGCCCCTGAGACTATCTGAAAGCAGTTGATCTGGACTAGAATAATATTTGAAACCATTGTGGATCACCAGTCTTGGAATCAAACAGTCCTGGCTTTGAGTCAGTGTTACTAGTGTTCTGGCCTGAGTGAATTGCTAACTTCTTTAATCCTGAGTTTCTTCATCTATAAAATAGAAATAATGCTAGATCTCAATACATTTGTATGGTGTTTAAATGCGAAAATGTGTGTGAAGTAAGAGTCTGACAAATGATGGCTTCATTATATCCAGGAAGTACTCATGATTCCTCATTAGATGCCCTGCCATTTCCCCAGTAAGGATTATGCCAAGACTACCTTCTCTTTCAGAGCATCCTGCGAGTATAGAAAGTAAATGGCTGGAGTGAGGGACATCCCATAAGACAAAGGGAAATGGCCAGATTGGCACAGATTGCAAACACAGCCTCCCAGCACTGTTTAAACCTGCTGAATTAGTTATGGATTTCTAGAAACCTAGCACTCGTTCATGATGCAACCTGGGTAAATAATTTAGGCTGTCTGAACCTAAGGTTCTTTCTCTGTAAGATGAGAGGGAAGGGCTTCATAGAATAATTGTGAGGATTACCCATAATCATTTTATGTGTACCAGGCGCAGTGTTGTTAGTGTGTGTGAGTTCTCTCTGATTCTTTATACCCACTCTTCCAAAGAGGAACAAAAAATTCATCCCTAGACATCAAGCCCAGAGTGGTTGGGGTTATAACTGTTATCAGGTCATTCAGTTATCCATTCAAGACTTACTAAGCACTTACTCAGTGTCTAGCCCTGTGTTGGGCCCTGTTGGTATTAGGCCCTGTTCTTACAGAAATGACATCCTCCTGGGGAGGCAAGCACCAGTGGCATATAAAATATAAGCTTACAAAACAAGCAGGGCACAAGCTGCTCTGTGTTTGAATCCAGATGTGTTAGCTGTAGTACATTAAGAGATACAAGAGAGGGGACTAGGCTGGACTAGGCTGGAGCACCCAGAGGAAGAATACTGCAAGAGGAAGGGCATAAGCTGGGCCTTACTGAATAGAGTGGTCTTAGTTCCTCTACTAATTAAATAAGCAGCCTTGGGTAAATCACTTCACTAACCGTGGTATTAATTTCATCATCTCAGGAAAGAATTTTGGCATTTATACTGTTCAATATTTATGGGGTAGATTTGAGAATCAACTTAAAAAATGGATAGAAGAGTATTTTGAAAAAAATTTAAAGCACTGTGTAACTGCATTAGGAATCCTGGAATATGTTGACCAGAAGGACTTCCAGAGCATGCTGCCTTATTTTGTAAATGGAGCGACTTAGGCTCTGAGAGTCTGCTGTCTCTACTTAGGGGAAGCTGTGGGTCCCATATCCTTTAGTCTGCTTAGGGATCTTGCTTTATCTGTCATCTCTTTTCACTCCTAATAACTATCACATTAATGGTGAGCTTACAGTGTTCTACAAGGCAGTGTGAGAAAGTGGTTAGTACAGTCTGGCATATAGTTAAACACTCAAATGGTAACATATTATTGTAATAATAAATTTCAAAATCCTTAAAATAGCTTACAAAACCCTTCATGGTATGGTCCCTGCTTTCCTCTTTAGCCTCATTGTTAACTCTCAGGAGTTCCATGCCAAACTTTTCATTTCCAGGAACAAATACCATTTCATCCTCCTTTCCTTTGTGTAGGCTATTTTTTTTTCTGTGTGGGAAGCCTTCCTATATCCTTATTTGATTGTGAAGCTTCCTTTCCTATGTTCTTATAGTTCCATGTGCTCAGTTTTATCATAAGAACTACATGCTACATTAAAATGTTGTCTTTTGTGTTCTCCTACTAGACTATAAATCCCCTGAAAACAGGAACTGTTTCTTCCTATGTCTGGCCCAAAGTAAATGTATGCTAAATAGTTACCAAAGTTAAAAATGAAGGGAAAATCATTTGTTCAAGGTTATAGCTGCAAGTATTACCGTCCTCCTCAAACCTTGGTAATTGGGTCCAGACTGTTGGGGAGGGGAGTAGATAGGAAGGTCCTGGACTCCTGGAGTGGCCTGTGAGACCACAGAGGTGGTAAGGAGAGGGCCATTTTAGTCCCTGAGGTCACCTGGATTTGTTTCCTCTCCAGGAAAGTTCCAGATGCAGGTCCTACCCCAGTGTGGTCACGCAGTCCATGAGGATGCCCCAGACAAGGTGAGTCTGGTCCTCTGTGACTGTAAAAGAATAGCTGTGAGTCCCCTTGGCTTTCACAAAAAATAGTACAAGCCTCTGAGTCAGGCTGAGTTGCCTGCAGTGACCACTGTTGGGGCCTATTCAGATATGACTCCACCATCTCCCCAAACCTCTCCCTGGCGACTGCTATGGTCTTGGCTTTCTCTCTATGGCCTGAGGAGCTACTGGCACCCTGCAATTTCACCCTAGGGCCCTCTGGTTAAAATCTTAAGTTCTACTTCTCTCTTTCCCCCAAAACCAGGTGGAAGAGGGGAAAATTGGGATGGAAACTACTCCCTAAACTACAGTCACAGTTAGAAGTTAATATACTCTCCTATAGAATAAGATGCTTTTTAACTCTCAGGGAATAAATAAGCCTTCACATCATTCCTCTTGACTTCTCTGGAGCTATCTTTGGCAAGGTTGGTGGGGAGGAATCTTCTAGCCCTGCCAGGACTCAGTTCCTTTAGGTTTCAAGCTTCCCAGATCTGTAAGATCCATGAGTCCACTACAGAGCCTAACCTTCCAGTAGAAGCCCACAGGACCTCCAAAGCTGATCCCCATTGCTAACATCATATAGCCTGGAATATCTCTCCCTTTTCCAGGTAGCTGAAGCTGTTGCCACTTTCCTGATCCGGCACAGGTTTGCAGAGCCCATCGGTGGATTCCAGTGGTAAGGAAGTAACAAAGGTTTAAGGAGCCCCGCAGTGCTGACCAACTCCAACAAAAAGATATTTGCAGCATTGTAAATATCTCTGCCTTAGCCCTGCCTGGTTTGGGTCACCATGCGTTTCTTCTTCCTCCTCAACACAGAGCCCAGCGTGGTGTTTCTACAAACCTGTGGTTGATTGTTTCTGTGTGCTTTGGTCCAGTGGGTTGTTGCTGAGCTGAGATTAAATTGTGCCTAGTCCCCACTCCACCCCACTTCTTAAAGAAATCCCCCCTCTTCTTGAGGTGCCTCCTTCTCTGAGGAGGCTAGGATGGGAATCAGTCTTTTTCCAGAGTCTTAGAGAAGTTCTGTATGCCTTCTCCTCCTCTGCTGCTGAGGAATGCTGGGCAAGCCATGGGAACTGTGTGGAGATCCAGAGCAGGGTTTTCAACCTCAACACTGTTGACATTTGGGGGCCTGTCCTGTGTATTGTAGGATGTTTGACAGCATCCCTAGCCTCTATGCACTAGAAACCAGTAGCACTCCCACATACACACACAAAGTTGTGACAAGCAAAAATGTCTTTAGATGTTACCGAATGTCTTGAGGGAAACAAAATCACTCACAGTTGAGAAACACTGGTTTGAAGGAAAAAGGATGCCTCTCATCCTAGGAAGCTCTTCTGATTAGGGAGACACAGTTAGACTCTTTGTTGAGGAGGAGGAGGAAGAGAGGCATGATTACCCAAACCACACAGTCCTGGCCCCACCTTAGGGAGCGCCTAGTCTATGCTGCAGTATGCACTGATCCTCAGAGAGCCCACGAGCCTGCTGAGTCATACCTGCCAGTTGGAAAGTCTCCTGTCTGGTTTTGGTGAAGGTCCGGGGGAACTGGTTCCCTACCCTCAGGAATTTGAAGAAGAAATGTTGAAGAAAAGAAAATCGTTTCTGCATTAGAGAACTCTGGATGCCAGGACCTGGGAGGGGAGGGTGATAGGCATTGGCGGTGATGACAGGAGCCTGGTACGGTGAGCCACATGAGTGACTGCCTCGTGCTGAACCACTCCTCAAGCAACTAATCGTTGATGGATCCCAGGAATCAAAAGCAAAGACTTAGTTGTTCTTGATAGTAGTGTTTGGAGCCCCTGGACCATTTGGTCACATCACCAGTTCACAGAGAGCAGAGCCCATGTCTAGACCTAGATGGGGCTGTGGGGAGGTTGGACAGATCTGCAAGGGCCTTGGTGGTCATGAAGGGTCCTGGGCTTCCTGGAAGAGAAGGGGGTGAGCAGGGGAAAGCTAGTAACGGTCACATTTGTTTTCCCTTATCTTTCCACTCTTCACAGTGTGTTTCCTGGCTGTTAGTAACCTGCTGTCCATCCCTCCCCCAACATTGAGCTCTGTTGTAACTACATCGCACCAGAGGCCACTGTGATGCCGCTGTCTCCTCACCATCCCGCCCGACCGTGTGACACCGGCTCCCTATAGACGGGCTTCCCCAGATGTACAAACCCTTTTGTGTATTCCTGCCAAAAGCATTGTTTTCCAAGGCCTTCAACCAGCCTCGGCCTCCTTAGTCCAAGGCTCCCCAGCTCACACCCCGTCCCTGTTCAGGGGTAGCCCCTGCCTGTTCTCCCTGCCTTGCCTAGGATGAAGCCTCCATCGGAACTGCCACCCTGGGCCCCTATTCCTGATATTAGGCAGTGCACCTGGGTCCAAATGTCTCTCCAGGCTCAGGGACCTCCATTCCTTGAGATTGTTCTTGGCGTGGTCCTGCCCTACCTCACGGGATGGACCATGCACAGGGTGGTCCTTATTGTCCCCTTTCAAATAAAATACCAGTCAGGTACCTTTCTATCCCAGTCTTACTCTTCCAGGCTTGGAAGACCCAGAGAGGCCAGGATCCCATCCTTAGAAATAGGGAGGCGGTGGTGGATAGCATCACAAGAAACCAGCCTGAAAATCAGGTCCAGTCAGTCCAAGCACATGGCCTCCCATCTGGGGAGAGCCCACTGTCCCTCTCCCACATGTCTGGGCACCTGCCCTGGGCTGAGGCCAGGCTGCTCCAGGGGCCTCTTGAGCCCTCACCTGCCACAGAGCAACCCAGGTTTAAGACAGCCCATGCACAAAGCCATAGGCTAAAGCCTGTGGAGTTGTTTTTAAGAATCAAATTTAACCATTTTCATAATTGGTTCCTGGAGGTGTGCAGAGTGCCCACTTGCCTCTTCTAGACCCACAGCTTATCTTCACCATTTGTGGTTTCCATGTCACTCTTCATAGAAACAGCACAGCCCAGCACCCTCGCTCTAGGCCCTCTTCCAGCTGCCCCCTCCCAGCACTGCGGCCTCCCTCTGCTGCCCAGGCACGCCGTCTCCAAGGGCAGGAAGGGCCGGTCTCCTGCAGCCCATCTTTTCTGTGACTGTCTTAGGTGATGCGTAGCCCCCTCCACCTTTCCACCCAACAACTTCCTATCCCTGTCCTGCTGCACGGTCCAGAGTCTGGGACCTACTTTCTTTCTTTGTTATTTATGATCTTGTTTAAAGAGAATAAATATCTCCCAACCTTTATCGATCTTGTCTTTCTCCAGGGAGTTGTCCTTATTTCTGCCGATCTGGGGAACGGGACAGTTTGTTGGATTTAGTCACCATATGTCTCCAGAAACCCCTTTCCTGAGCCCATCAGCATCTTATGCTCTGCCCGCCCCTCACATCCAGAATGCCCAATGGAATGGGCAGAGCCAGCCTCCACTGCAGCTAGGGAGACCTGGATTCCAGTCCCATTCTTCCAGTTATGTGCTCTGTCAACTCTGGCCCAGAACAGGACAGTCTATATGCACGGTTTATGTGAGTTCCGACACTCATGGCTTCACATCTGCCAACACCAGCACCTTGCCCATAACCCAGGTCATCTCCTGAGCTCTAGATGCTTAGGTCCATCTGCCTCCTATCTCCCCCAGATGACCAAAAGCCACTCATATTGACCAATCCTAAAACTGAACTCACCTTCCCCCTAAAATTGTTCTTCCTCCTGTGTTTCCTTGCTCAGTAAGTGGTACCACTATCTCTCTATTGTCCAAACCAGACAGGCTGAACTCTTTACATGGCTCCCTCTCTCACACCTGTATCCAGCTTACCACCAAACCCCTCCCCATGCTCTTTTTTTATGTCCCCTGTTTCCCATCCCACAGCCCCTGCCATAGCTTAGGCCCCATCTGTCAGCTAGATCACTCAGTACCCCTGCTGGTTTCCTGCCCTCCCTTGGTCATGCTCTACACACTGTTGGAGTCTTCTTCCTATTAGGCTGTGGAGCCAGGCTGCCTGAATCAGAACCCAAGGCCCACACCTTACAAGCTGTATGGGATAGCCGTTACTTTCTCTCTTCGTGCTACAGTTTCCTCCTCTGAAAAATGATCCAACAGTACCTCCCTCACATGGTCTTGAGGACTATGTAAGTTAATATAGGTTAACTGGCTTTCTCAATAACCGGCATAGGGTAAAGCACTTAATAAATAGTTCATGTCATGTCACTGCTATATTGTACTTAAGACCTTTACTCAAGAGTGGTCTGTGGACCAGTAGCATTGGTATCATCTGGAAGCTTGTTTGAAGATTTTGTCTACCCCAGACCTTTTGAGTCAGAACTGATCTGCGTTCCAACAAGCACATTAATTCTGAGAAGTTCTGGTTTAGATGTTCCCTATTTCAGGGTAAAGCATGAGCTCCCTAGCAGAGAAAAAAAGTGCCTTGTGTGTCATGTGATTTCTCCCACCAAGCTGTTGGGGGGGGGGGGGGGGGGGGGGGTGTGTGTGGGGGGGGGGTCCCTTTACTGGGCTGTGTGCTCTCTGTCCACAGGGGGGCAGCATAATCACACACATGGTTTTCAGGAAACACATTAGCACTTCTGTTCACCAGGCAAGTCATAGCAGTCATCAAATTTTGAGGGTCATCTAATTTACTTTACACACATCTCATTTAATTCTCACAGCATCTCTATGAGGTAAGTCATGTTATGTTCCTTTCACAAGTAGGCAGACAGGTCCAAATGCATACAGCCCAGGAGTGGTGGTGTCAGAATTAAAACCTAGGTGGTTTCCTCTCCACACTGCCTCCTGGACAATACAGGGGACCCTGAACAGAGGTCATTTTGGTCTAGATACTGTTCTTAAAATAGCAAGAGGTTGATGACCAGAGACTTGAGGCTTCTTCAGCCTTGATGGATGGAGACTGAGAATGAATGATATGTTGAGCTTTGGGTTAGCTTCTGTGCTAGTCACTTAACATCTCCTTTATCTTTGTATCCTTGTGAAGTATAGGCACTATTTTCTCCACTTTAAAGGTAAGGAAACCGAAGCTCAGAGATGTGAAATGACTAGTCCACAGCCATGGCTAGGAGGTGGCAGCATCTCTGTCTACTGAGTGTTCCATTGTACCCCAGCAGGTGAAGCAGGAGAGCTAGGTTCTTGTCTCACAGAGTCCAAGAATGAATCTCGCGGACAAAGAAGAGTGAATAAAGCAATAGAGTTTTTATGAAGCAAGGGTACAGGAAAAAAGCTCTCAGGAGTGACAGCGGGCCCGACAGGGTTGCCACTGAGGGCTTTTAGGGTTGGTCTTTTATTGAAGGCTAACCAGGGAACTTAAATCCTTTTAAAGACTCTCTTGATAGCACCATTGAGTAAGGTCTAGTGATAACACCTTTAATGGCTTACCTTTTTTTTTTAGGGGCCAGTAATTCTTTGCTGGTCACAAGTAGCCATTATAACAAGACCCCCACCTCTGACACCTAGGGCAAGGGTGGTCTGGTTTGTTCCTTTATCTCTTGTTTCCTTGCACCTCTGCATTTTTATGATTTTTGTGAGCCTGATCCCATAGCCCCCTACCTGTCTTTCCCTACCTAGCCCCGCCTGTCCCTTTTCACATAGCATATCTTTAATGAGCACCTGCTATGTGCTGGCCATCCCAACATCCTTGTGAAACCTACAGATCCGCACTATGAACTCAGCAAGGGAATAGAGGAGACCCGGGACCC